TTTGCGAATGCATGTTGTTATAGACACAGGTTCACACACATGTGGTAGCAAGCAGTATAGATGTTTTAATTTGTAGACTTGTTTTGCGGGGCACCCTTTTATAAACACTCAAATTCGTAGAGCCTCGACATGGAGCCGGCCAGCGGGAGTGTGAACAAGATGGACAAGAAGGCCCTGGAGGGGCTGGATGCCCGGACCGAGAGCACGAAAGTGCCAGACGATGCCAGGGAGGACTTGGTGGAGGACCCGCCTTCCGAGAATGAGACAGCAACCTCCACCAAGAGGTCCCAGAGCAAGCCGGAGCATGGAAGAGGCCCTATGAGGGTCGCTTATCAGGCCAAGAAAGCTTTGATCCACAAAGGGGTCATCACGAAGAAAGAGGCAGCGAAACTTGGTCCGGAAGAGATCATGGTGATGGTGAAGAAGTACCGCAAGGGGAACTCCATCCTCTCGGAGGTCCTGCTGCAGCAGCTGGAGGAGAACCAGAAGGAGGACCTCTTCAAGAGGCTCTTCGAAGAGCACCAAGAGACCCCGGACATGAAGATCCCGCAGATCACGGACGAGCAGGTCCTGCAGGCCGACGAGGTGCTGCTGGCCAACTACCTGTACCAAAAGTGCCCGTTCTGCAAGAAGTACTTGGACGAGGTGCACGTGAAGACCCCGCAGCACCGCATCTACATGAAGGAGCACCTCCAGTCCAGCTATTTGCTGACCGGCGAGCCCGGCGACATGAAGTACTTGGACGTGAAGAACTCGTTTCTGAGGGTGAGGCGATTCGGTGGCGGGCTGAAGGAGCTCAGCCTCAGTGGGGCTTTGGAGTACTGGGGTAATGTGGAGACCCTTCCCTCGCTGGTGAAGTCGATGCACGAGAAGAAGCCCATGAAGGTGAAGTACGGCGAGTCCAAAAAAGCGAAAACTTTCGACTTGCCGAAGGAGGAGGTGGGCTTGGGTAAAAACGATAACCAATAAAAAATAACGATAAGGTTTAGAATAGGATAGGAAGAGTGGCCAGGGGG